AAAAAAATTGTATATCTTTCAATTATTTTCACTAATACTTCTCTTCTATATCTTCATTAGATTCAAGCAATTTAATCCAATCTCCTTCTCTCACTAGATGGCATTACTAATTCTGTCATCTGTAAAGAATTTGGATTAGATGATATTTATGTATTCAATTCATATTTCATCTGATAAAAATTACTATGTCATATTAGTCAATTTGGTATGAATATATATTTTAATATTAAAATTTGTATTGATATTTGAAGAAATCTAGTCGGAATTTATACTCTAATATTAAAATTTGTTATTCAAAATCTAATATATATATCAATTATGACATAATGAATTGAGAACTTTCTTTATTAGTTATAAACAATAATCTTATTTAGTAATCATTTTTCTCCACAATAACAATTATGGAAAAAACTGGACCTTATTGCGGCCATATATCTATATATATTATATTATGTAACTGAGGAATATGAGAAATTAATCCAAAATCTATTTTGATTAACTACTACCATCTGTGTGTGTGTGTAGATATTATATTATAGTGTAAGCTTGACAAATTGATTTCTTCATTTCATGTAACTTATCTATGGAATACATGAAGTTACATATCTTGCAATAACGATATACTGTTTTTGCTCATAATTTCTGTAAGCCAAATATGCTATTTTATAGGGAAGCATTGGTTAAATAAAATGAGTTGGAAACAGGGACATATTTATTGGAGAAATATTTCCGAAAGATATAAAATAGAAATTTTTTTAACCTAAGTCATGAGATATTTCTGACTACTGACATGCTCATAAATAAGCGAGTCATCAAGTCATCTAATATTGCAGTAGAAGACTATAATAGTTGTCCTTATCCATAGCCATCTGACCTCTTATATGGAAGTAGGTTGACTAGTATAAAGGAAAAAAAACCTACTTATAATATATATGGTATAGAATATGCATTGTGATTATCATAACACCCGATATATATATATATATATATGCAAATATGTGAAATAAACCATCAAGTTAGCAACAAAAAATATCCCATCAAGCTAGAGAAATCTAGTCAACCCTCTGTCATCTAACCCCATTCCTGAAATGACTCAAGGAAGTTTGACTCAGTTCTTCTATTATCAACTTTGACAAAAGTGAGCTACGTCTCATAGCTATGAGCAGGATTTAATGAATACTAATTAATGGATACTAATTTTTAAAAGCTAACACCATATTGTTTAGTTGGAAGTTTAAGCATTATTGGTTCCAGCAACAGAGCAATCTCACCTATTAATAAGCACCAGTCTTCACTTCCATAACCAGCACAAGCTTCAACCAACCAAGGAAGACAACAAACAACGAGCACCATGGAGGATTTCATCAGTTTAGATTTTTTCAACTTACTACACCGTTGGAGGAACCATAATGTCACGAGTGTTCGTGTCATCTGCGGTCCATTGATAGTTCTCGTGACAAGGGATGCACTTACAGGTAATAAAATATTCCACACTGCTGTTATTGTCACTGTGGGATCTTCAGGTTGGTATGCGAAAAGACACTTTATCATTAAATGCATTTACGGAATTATGAGGTGCCAAGTTTTCTACTGTAAGCCATTAGAGTGTGTAGAAAGATATGACTATAGTGACTATAATCATTACAAGAAGATTTTACGTAAACACATGGGTAACCTGCGTCTGGCTATGCCATGGACGAATCATGAACCTTTGCTGATTCATGACTTGTATTTAGAGGCATACATGAAGATCTTCCCCATTATGCAAACCCATATTGTAAGGATAACTCGTATGGTGTACCGAAGAGTTGAATCAATGACCCCAAACCTTGACCCACCTGTTGAAAACAATGATACTGCATATGAAGCTTTGAACACTGAAGCTGACCTTCTGTGTGCAAGTGAGTTCGAAGCAGAGTTAGGTTTTGTATCAAGTAGTGATGACGATGAGTGACTGAAGCTTTCTTGCTAGCTATATGTATGGAAGAAGCCATTGATGATTTGTGGCACCTTGATATGCAGTATCTTTTACTACTATTTTATTTTGATAATAGTATCTTTAGCAGTATCAACTCATTGGTATTAATTCTCTTCTTTTTTAATTATGTATTTATTCTCTACTCCTTGTTTCACTCAATGAAAAAAACCATATCATATTTTCTTCCTCCTTCCAAACATGAAATCCCATACTCGAATAGCATCAAATTAATAAACCAATCATCAGAAAACATGCTTGACTATAGCATCAAATTACACAAATATACATTTTGTCGTAATGACGTATCTTGAACTATCCTTAACCAAACATACTCAACACACTAAGTCTAATAGCTGACTTAGCTAAAACACTGAAACTACATAAACACATCTTCCAACTAAACATACAGTCTCACAGTTGAATATCAAATACTAAACCAAAGAAACTACATTAACATGACACCAGTAAAAAAAATGACAACATTGAAACTTTGCCAACACACATTTGTCTTCATTCACTTAGATCAAATCATTCTTCAACTTTTAGACCTCATGATAGGGTGGATCAAACTTCACCTTCGTAGCATCACTGTAAGAGAGCTTCACCGGGCAACCTAATAAAGGAAACCACAAATTTTGCAATAAGACAGTGTTAGATAATAATGCACTAAAAGAACTACACAACAGTGAGCTTAGATAAGACACTATCCTTCACTTACCATTTTTAGTAAGTATTCCACTAATTACATACTCCATAAGAACAAATACATCCTTCTTCATTGTGATTGCGTCATACTCGTCCCTCACTGCCTCAACCTAGCTTCCACATAAGATGCATTTAACTTGGTCCCTAGCCCTATTTATTTTAGAAAAGTGAATGCCACTCACCTGAATGTATTATATTTAATCCAATTGCCAAAATAATAAGTAGTAGAGAAAGAAATCTTGTCATAAAGTACTCTTTCGACGTGTCTCAAGTATCATAACCAATTCTTTCTCATAAAAGCCTCTATATTTACTCAGCTTCACCTTGGAAATATAGTTGACAAAGCCGCACACGTCTGTAACCATAGTAAATTGCCGATAAGATATGTCACACTCATTTCAGAAAGTTATGATTGGATAATCAAAATGTCAAAATAGGTTATAGAAGCTGCTATGATATACCCACCTAGAAATCTGTTGTCGTCCTTCAACGCCCAAGATATATCGTGCACAGCCTTCAAATTCAAGCTCCTCTCAAGTAGTAAGTCCAGACATTCATTCAACACCAAGGATGGAATCAGCTCTATGTTGTATAGTTGGTGAACATGCTCACCACCTACTGCAACATGCATTCCAGAGATAATAAATGGCTTCATCACTCTTCATGTAGCAAAGTATATGGGAACCCTATAAGACTTACAACAAAGATTAGCATCCTTTTAGCATAAGTACATACCTATAAATAATAAATGGTCACAACCTTCTCATCATATATCACAAAGTCCATTGACATGTTTTCCTTCATGGGACGATGTTAGTGGCCTATGAAATGGATGACATCCCTAGGAAATATTCTATCAATCTTCACTGTTACCATCTTCATAGCCACGCTTGGCTCAAGATCATTAAGAAAAGCCTTCAGCAAGAAATGCATCATCTCTGACAAAATATTCCTGTGAATAACAAAACAACAATTTAGTTTTAAGCATAGATAAGACTGACATTGATGAGTATGCTCTATTAACTCCCAAGTAACGGCTCATCAATTGTCTCAACCACCATACATAACTAATAAATGGACAACATTTACTTTTTTTTTTAAAAAAAAGAAAACCGTACTAAATACCACTCACCTGATTAAAACGATGAATCCAGTAATATACCAACAAAATAAGATGAACTAAACAAACTCTTCCACCGTATATCTCAGATGAAAAGATGAGAACAAACATAAGAGAAGAGGTATAGAGAATGTAGGAAATGGAGAGATAAATGCCTCATGGATGAATCAAGTCCCTATATATATACCAAAGACCACGTCATCTATCAATCAACTGGCTTGAACGGAGCCCAACGCATTGTATTTAAATAATATCTTCAGTTATCTAGCTTGTGAAAAGTGTTTTGAGTCTGGAGCCAAGAATAAGCCATATTGCAATCGGCTTCCCAGAACAGTATCTTGTCATAAATTGATTCATTCCAATGTCATTTGTTAGGTTCCATTTGACCTAGTCCACTCCCTGAAGTGAAGCGAAAGTAGCCCATTTATAACTCTTGACCACCGACTTGATGCAGCATTTGAGTTGAATCATCAAGTCTTTCTCCTGTTCACATCCAAAAGCACAAGTAGCTGATGCGTCGATTCCTCCTCTCATTTTGAGTTGTGCAGTGTGAATCCTTTCATGAGTAAAGAGACACATAAAAATTTTAATCTTTTGTGACAGACTGCCTCCAAGGGATTTCTAGCAACTTTTTTACATCATGGGCTAGAATTCCATAGTTGTTTTTTAGAAAAAAAATATATTAAAAAAATGTTATTGATAGCTTTACAACCATTTCCCTCAAATTCATAAAATCCATTTAAGTAAAGTTGAAAATTCATTCAAGGTTTTCCATAAAATTACAGGTCACACTTTGTTCTTGTAGCCAAGACTCTATATTTGTAGCTGTCTAAATTATGTTTGCAACTGATCTTTTGTCAAAAGGGAGAGTTGGAAGGGATATATTCACAAATAAATCTCATAATAACTGGCTAATTTATAATGACAAATTTCAAAATAAAAAATGGTAAATTTTAGTTACTCGTGTTATTGGAACTTTTAATAATTATCTTCATTGAAACCTCACTGTAATTCTTTCTTTTTAAAATGTTTTGGAATCAAGTTGTTACGGAATTAATTTTTTAAAACCTAAATGTTATTATTTCCTTGCCCCCCCCCCACCAAACATGAAATAAAAAATCATTCCGATCCCATAGGAAACTTGGCCTAAATAATTACTTTTTCTTTAAGTCAAATCAACCACCTACAATGAAAATATGGTGCACAAAAAGAACAAAATTAACTATCAATTGCACCATCAGTCTTTGCAAGCCAATTAACATAGTCCTTCGTCTCACCATATACATGTTAAACCACAATATTCAAGTGAAGTGCTACAAATCTCCCATTTTCCAACCACAATTGCATCATCATCTTTGCAAGCCAATTAACATAGTCCTTAGCCTCACAATATACATGTTAAGCCTCAATATTCAAGTGAAGTGCTATAAATCTCCCATTTTCCAACCACTAATCTTCTTCTTGTCACTTTCGCAACCCATGCCCACAAACACCATTTTCTACATCTCACCAGCTTCCTTTTCCTTCCACTCCAATTTGAGCGGAAACAACCAAAAGAACAACCTTCAGTTGCTGAATTCTAAACCAAGAAAAGTAAACATTAGATAGATCACAGAACGATAAACTTGAAGAGACAACAAAACCCACAAATTGAGTCTTAAACTGTGATGAATAAACACAAGTCAAATCGTACCTGTAAGAAATCAGTACTTAATATTCCAAAGAACAGAGGAATTTGATGCATTGACTGCATGCAAGAGCTCAGGAGACACACTTGAAGATATCCTATGTGAAAGCAACCTTGATCTCAGAATAGCCAGCACTTCTTTATGACGTGATTCCTTTCTCTTCAATACTTGTACATAAGCATGAAGCCCAAGCCACTCAACTTCGTCCTTCTCCAACCTCAGAATTGGCCGGAAATTACAGTGAGGAGTCATGGAATGCATCCTTTTCTTTATGAGCTCGTACAGATAACTGCCGATAGATCATTAAAATAAAGATAATTGACTAATGGCTATAACACCAAGAATTGATTTTTTTTTTTTTTTTTTTCATATTGAAGATATAAAAAGTCTTGGGAGTTTTGTATCAGGGTGAAATGCCAATCATGACATAAAAAGGACCAGCATAATATTAAACTACATCCTTACCTGATAGATCTTTTAATACTTTTTAAACAAAATCTCTTGTGAAGTTTGCAGATGATTGATAATTCACAGATGTAACAATGAAACTTCATTGCACAAAACAAAAATGCTTGATAGATGTTCAATCTGACAACAGCTGCTGAATTGATATTCAAGTCAAAGAATATGGGATGACATTTGGGTCTCAAAAAGCCACAAAGCTTCTCCTGAAAGCTTAGGCCTGGTTTCCCTTGCCAGCAGACAGTAAGTGTTGAGCGCAAATGGTTCTTTAAGTACCTGTATGAATACGGACCCACTTAATTCAAACCAAGGAAGAACACAATATTCTTGTAGAGATATCTTGTCAACTTGGTTAAATTGTGTATGCATGAAAAAATCAGATCGCCCATATTACATTAATACTCAGAAAAAGGCAGAAGCTTTGCCAGACCTCATGAAAGATCAAAGAACAAAATTGAACGACAGAAGAGTAATGCAACTAGAAAGAAAGATATCCTACCCGCCAGAGAAACCAAAGATCAACTCTAACTTATATTAACAAGGGGAAAAGATGAAGAAATAGGCTCCTAAATCTTTAATCACTGATTAAAAATTATTAGTATGAACATTGAATCCTGAAAAATGTAATTATTTTAAAACGAATCATAATGACAAATATAGATGTTATATGCTAATGACATAAACAAAATAAAAGCTCAGATGAAAATTAACTTTGTATAGTCTGCCTGAACTTCCAAGGTACAGCGATTAATAAGAAGACCACTCCAGCAAAGAAATGAAGTGCCATCTTCACCAACATGAACCCTCCTCCCTGAGGATCCTGACATTTGCCCAACATCAAAGTTGACTCCAAACTTTTTTTCATTCATGTAGCAGTTGTAATCACGAAATCCTCTTTGCAGCCTAGAGAAAAAGCCAGCTGCTTGCTTTTTTGAAGTCGAAATAAAAAGGATATCATCAATAAGTCGGATTAGCAAATAACATGGAGAAGAGACTTTGTCATCATTCCTCCTGTTCAAAGCACATTCTACCTTGGAACTGCCAGATTCAATAGTTTTTTCAAGAAATGGAAAGATCACATGCCTCTCCAAATGTCCATAGTATAAGGAGCAAAGCAAAGATGACAAAATACCTCCTTGGGGAATACCAACACCTTGCAAGTAAAATTTTCCTTCTAACTGCAGAATATTGTTCTTCACGTGCTGCTTAAGATATGAAAGGAGCACTTTGTTTTCCACGTGCTTGACACTCCCCTGTACCATTAGAAAATTTTGTATTGAGCATAGTTTTCTTTTTCCTTTTGATCAAAAGTTTCAATAGTTCTAATTAGGATATCTATTCACCTCATCGCTTTAAAAGCAAAGCAATATAAATAAGCAATTAAGCACATATACATTTTTTTTGGTAAGTATGCTGTCTTATCTACTTATTTAGGGTGTGTTTGGATGAAACCAACCCGTGGTTTAGAAAAGTGATTCTGGAGAATAGATCCTAGGAAGAATAAATTTTATGAAAAAGTGATTTTGAGAAGTGAGAGTGTTTGGATAGTTGTTATCAGAAGCACTTTTTATATATACAAATTACTAAAAAAAAGACATAAGTTAATATGATAATTACAGAAAAAATAGATTTTATGATATATTTTAATTTGAAGGAATAAAATTGTTAATAATATATTTTTTATTAACATAATTAATAATACATAAGATAATATAATTAATAAATAATTAATATGTATATATATTTATAAAATATAAGATTAAATATGTTTATAAAAAAATATGTTTATAAAAAAAATAATAAGATACATATCCTACAGGCTCTCACACTCTCCTTTTTTTCTCCAAAAGTAAAAAATTTTTGCTTTTTCTAAAACCATGGTTTGTGCAAATTGGGTGGGTGTTTGGGTGACTTGTCACCCAAACCTAGTTTGGGGTGTCACCCAAACGGTGCCTTATGCACAGTCCAGAATTTCTCAAGCAAACTGATAGGTCCCCAACCCACTGTTGCCATCAAGACACACACAAGGAGGCACAGGGGAGAGCAAAATGGCAGAAAATGGAGGACTATTGGTCCAGAACAAAGGACAGTATATATACGAAAGCATAGAAAAGTGAAGGAGTCAAACTCTTGAAAGTTGGCAAAGATGTTAGGTTTATGAAGTTCTATTTCTGCTTGATCGTGCTGAAAGTGTGTGCTTATTTGTAAGCATTAAAGTCCATCGATTCCTCTAGTTCCTTAAGTGTTTCAATCCTAATCTGTGTTTCCTCTCCATCAATGCCATTTGTATAATTTGTGATGTGGAATATTCTGTAGTAGTGGTATAATGATTGAATATGGTTTCTGTATTTCGGGGTTTTCTGGGGAGGGGTCCTGGATTGGATCTTCTAAGTTGACATATTGTAAGACAGTATCCAGTGAATTGTCAGAACTCAAGCTTCCCAGTACTTTAAATTTTAAAACTTAAGTTCCCCACTTCATTTATTTTATTTAGTTTCTATGTTGGAGAACTTCAGTGGTTCCTATGACACACTCATTGAAATTAAGCCGTGACTTTGACATCCATTTTCTCAAGAATAATATATAGCCACAAGACCAAGCTCTTAAATTCAATCCCTTTTTAACAATTGTAAATTAGCAGAAGCAATCAAATTCAGCTAGCACCTCTCAAACTAGCCAATTTAGAGATGTGAAGAAAAAGAGAATGTCGTCACAGCAGTTCTAGAAACAGCTTGTATTGAGATCAGATGGGCATAATGCTTATTATAGCTTTGATGAAATGAGCAAAAGACAACTACCAATCTTCATAAACAAAGGTGAACCAATAGTTTCCAGATCCATCACAAACCTGAGCAATTTGCGTTATGCTTATGGGATAGACATGGATGGATATGCCAAGTACGAACTGGCTCTTAGTTTCTCAGAAAATTTTTCAACAAAATTATTAGTAAATTAAATTAACCTCATAGTACCTTTTGGTTTGGAAGAAGTAAACTTGTGCAGTTGTGCTTTAGTCAGCAAAATCAACCCAAACATCAAAATTAAAGTCAACAAATTTCCAGCACAATAGTATTAGACAAGCAAATTTTGAAAAAAAAATTATTTAAAACAAAGCTCCATCCAATGTGATCAATATGAGAAAAGGCACAAAGGACTGAAAGTCCATGGCATTGAAATTTAAGCAGATAAACATTCCAGTATGACAACTGCATGTGAATAAAAATGAAACAATGACAGAACATCGGTGCAATAGAAGCATAGAGTTTTCTCATACAAAACCGAGAAATTTCAAAGCCGATACCTTACTAACAAAGATGCTATGCATGGAACAGAATGAAGCAGATGAGGTGAACCTTTTGCAGCCAGTGCTCATATTTTCATCAAGCACACTGAAAAGCTTGCGAACCCAAAAAGATTCCTTTGTGCTAACAACTTGATCATCCTGTTTAAGAAAATATTCATGTTTTCGCAGAACATCGCTCATAACACTTAGCAGCTTGTCTTGATCAACAGAATCAAATGCTTTTAGTACATCAGAAGTGACAATGTAAAAATCTGGCATAGTTTTTGACCCCTCCTTAAGGCCAATAAAAAATTGGCATAGCTTTTTATAAACATCATTGTAGTCAAAAACTGATGAACCTAGCTTCTCAGGTTCCCTGAATTGTATATCCTTTAGAATAATATGAGCATCACGAAGAACAGAATTCACAGATCGATAATAGTCAAATTCATTTTTACAAGGATTTGTGTTTCTCCACCTTCTAAAAGAATGAACTTTCCTGGAAGATGTGCAGGCTGGCATTCTAGAAGAACCACTAAGATTAGCCACCATCCTTACTCCATTCTCTTTTGGTCTAAGTCTGAGCTTTGAAAATCCAAATACTCTGTCTCTGAGAATATTCCTAACAGCCATTTCATCCAGGTAACTGTACCTCTGATTGTTCAGGCAAGCGATTGTGTTACTTGTCAACTTCTCCCAAATAGGTTTCCGATAATAGTATACATCTTGCTTCCCATGCTCACTTTCAGTAACATAAAAGTTTGCTTGAACCAAAGGCACAACCAGAGAAGAGAAATACCAAAAGATCCACCTTTCTAGAAGCTTGCGTTTGATAACATGCAGAGTATTATTCCAATTATTAAAGTCTTTGTGCGGACCAGTATTGTGGCCTTCTATATGTTTTGGAATCCGAGCATTCTGAGTATTTGAGAAATATTTAGTTGATAGGAATGGAAATGTTGATGATTTCAATCTATGCATACATAGCTTCAAAGGGAACTTTTCAAACCTCCTCAGGCGTATAAACCTGGAAATGTTTCTAGTCATTATCCTCCAATGAGAAGGATCGCCTAACAATTCTGGGGGTAGTATACTTCTAGAGACAGCCCAGATGTAAGACACCACCTGACTTTTTGAGCAATAAGATTTAACAGCTTCATGCTGTGAATCAATTGCTTCCAGAGAATCCATGCACTGATTTCTATCAACACCATGCGATTTCTTTTGCCCTCTCGTCTTTGAAACATTGCTCTGTAAGAGGGCAAAAAAGAATTATTCAGAAATGTATAATATATTTCTTAACATTATGAAAGGTTCTTTTACTGGGTTGAATAGAGTTCCCTTGAAAAGAAATGACTTCATTTTATTTGTAAATGCTTGGATGCTGTTTTAAAAATTTCGATCTCAATATTTGTTTACAAATACAGTCCCTTGCTTGACACATACAGTAAAATAGACAAATTCAGTTATTAAGCGATGATCAAGAATTCAGGAACATGAAGAAGATTAAGGAAACATTAACCTGTAGCTTCAAGATAAAAACTCACCATCAAAGATTCAGGCCAAAATAATAATAATAATAATAAGGGCTTAAAAAACTTTTAAGATGAAAAATAACTGACTTATGAGAGATAGCTTAAAATCACTTTATAGTTTTCCAAGCAAATGAAATTGCAGTCTTCCACTTATTTGAAAATTTGAAAATTTGTCAAGCTATCAAGTTGTGCAAAGAATTCACGTGAAACAAGAGAAGTCTTGCTATGCACAACCTCATCAACCAAATGGAAATATATCAAAACAACCAACATATTCCCAACTCAATAATCTTAAATAAATCAAGAACCTAAAGAGGGGAGCTAGATCTTCTTACTGGATCTTCATCACACGACGGAAGAGCACAATGCTTCTCCAAGAGTTTTTCATAGTGGCAACAGTGGCTCCTGCGTATGACACGCTTAAGCCACCTAACAAGGGAGTGATAACTGCACACGCAACCAATATGAACCATTACAATGATATTACTCTGACAGGAGCTCAAGGCATTGTAATTGAGACAAGCTTTTCTCTATAGCTCTTCATTTGTTCTAGAATTCATCTAGGCATAACTATAGCAGGCAACAATGGAGAACAGCAGGGCGAGGAGGAAGCCCTCTATAACGTCATGTGCTAGTGCTAGAATTTCCAGCCTAGCCAACCTTTCGCCATAAGACCAAAATCAAAGATCCATTAAACATAGCAAAAACATCGTACAAGAACCTAAACTAGGAACTCCTCCAAAACCTATAGAGTGAGATTATAAGATCAGTCCTGAATCATAGATTTCATACCGACTCTAAACAGACTGCAAAGGATGAAACAACCTTAATGGCAATCAACCACCAAAAAACAGAGTATGAACTCTAATAAATACCTTAGCAACAAAATATTAGAGGATGTATGGTAATAAGAAAAAGCCTCCATGAACTTACAAGCATGCAGAGCCAGTGAGACAAGGCCCACTGTTGTGGAAGCAATGCATTGACAGAGTTTTGACATCCACCTCAGAAATGCCATAAATATCTCTGATGAGATACTCCGAACCAATTAAATTTGAACTTAAAGAATTTAATATGTCTGAGAGATCATATGTTAAGGTGTTATTAACCTACAGCAAGGCGAGAAAGCCCTTTTGAGTTAAGATATTATGGGGGAGATTGGTAACCACAGGAAGCACTTAAAGAAAGTAATTTCATACAAGTCGAGACAAAACTTGTCCACGTACTTACTTCATACACTGTAAAATCACTTCCAAAAAGCTAATCTAAACACCCCATATGATTGAGGCATCTTTGCCATCACCCTAAGCCCTTTTGAGTAAGCCCTTTCGCAAGCAATTGGCAATTTATAAGAGGAGAAAACATAGGTGTAAGTTATAGGACTTTCCAGTCAACTTATCAACAAAATCTTATCAACAAAATCTGAAGATATTTTACAGCTTGAAGTCATAGCTTGACATCATCTTATCAATAATCAAGCTGATTTTTTACATCTTGACACAAATTGATTGGGCCATTTAGGCATTTAATATATATATATATATATATATATATCCTTTAAGTGTAGTGTTATAACGGGAGACCTTGTGGCAAATGGTTGCAAAAGTATAAGTTCACGGTGGTTCCAAAGGGAGGCAAAAAAAAAAAAAAAAAAAAAAGAGGAAAAAAAAGGGGAAAAAAAAAAAGTAAAACTAAAACTGAGAAACACTCATTCAAAGAAGACGCAATTTCTGACAGATTTAGAAGTTATTGATGGATACGCCTCTTAGGAAGAACTGACGAGGAAGGCTCTGAATTATAGAAGATTGATCGTCTGTTTATCTCAGTCCTCTTGGGAAAAGTTGGAACTGATTGTAGGATCAAACAACAAGGACATTGCCACGGCATCTGCAGTTTAACAATATATACATAGAGGAACAGGTATAAAGGAAATCAAGGCACCCACATTTGAACAGAAAAAACATGCAAGTGATTTAAAAGCGTATAATAAATTACTATTTACATCTCATGAAGATCATGATGAATAACTAAAAATCCTTATAGTCTGTCAGAAGCAACAGGAAGAAGACATGGAAGAAAAGATCAAAGGAAAAATTCAAAATTCAGTTAGCAGTATCAGAATACAATGTTACAAATTCCTGTAGTGTTCATTTTTATCAATGAATTGATAATTATATCAAGCTTCCTATAGATGTTCCAAAATTTCACTTCAAATATAGTGAAATTGAATAAGATGGTACTTCCTAGAAAAACAAGTAAAATCCTTCTAGAGGTATAAATTGGTCTACCGTGTTTGGAGTCTCATCATTTTGAGAAGTTATACAGTCACCAGAAATCAACAATGAAAATGGCTTGCATATGAGCCAAATGAAGTGAATGGATTAAAAACTTCACTACTTTCAATTAGTACAGCATGTTACAGCAACAGACTTTAAAATCACTAAAACATACTATCAATTATGCATGTGTTATGTAAGAAACCTAGGTTTCAATACAAGAAAAGCTCTAATACTAACCAAAAGACTGGTGAACAAAGTTTAGAAATGACCGACAACAATATTTCAAAGAAACAATAGATCACCTGTTCATGATGACCTAAGCTGGTTTCATTGCAATGAAAACCCCCAGGTAAGTAGTCCCCTTTAGAAAGAGACATATTGCCCTCGATATGTACACCATTTTCATCTAAGTTTGATTGCCTCCATCTTCGAAGGCGGTGCCAACTAAATGGCCTTGAACGCTTTCCAAGCCTATCTGCAACATAATTTGAGCTTTTTTCCCCTTCTAACTCTGCTTTATGCCTACAAGTCTCAGCTCCAATTGTTGACTTTGGAATGTTAGCAAAACTTGTCTGCGGATGCCTTGTCCCATGATTCCTGACCAGCGGTATTGAAGACTTGACACCATTGATGTCAGGACCACTTACAGGGCTTGCAGGATCATTGTCATTGACAGAAATACAGCACTTCCTCTTTCCAGTTGCTAAGCTAACATCACCAGTTCTTTTTCTTTTCTTTCTCATTTCTGGAAGAACATTGCAACCCAAAATCATCAAGGCAACATCCTACCCATTTTGAGAATCCAAAAGGGATATCTTTTCTTTTCAATATGTAATGCCAAAAATCACAAGGCTTTAATACCACATCAAAAATCAGCACATTCCAAAAAGCTTAGTCTATTAAATTAGTGCCTATATAGGGGCCAAAAGGGGCCAGATAACCTCGTGCAGTTTAGCTTGCCACTTTAATGGGCAGGTGTGGCCTTTCTTGTGAAAGGACTGACGAAATTTAAAAATATTTATAAAAGACTAACATAAATGTTTTGTGAGTACTGTAGGGTATCCCACTCCAGGGTTAGGCAAAGCAGGCTCATCAAAAAAATGAAAATAATCAATAACATGAACTTATTTGCATAAAAGTATCGTTTAATTATTCATTAATTATTTCTATTCACATCAGCAAACCAAGATCTTTTTTCCTTTTAAATTTGATTTCTTTTCAATATAAATAAATAAAAATTTTCAGACCACAAGGCCAGCTCAGCCCAGCCCTTAGCCCATCACTTTAAAGACATAGATAAGGTAGATCCATCTTATAAAGAGAGTTCTACCACTTATGTGACAAGCTGGATAGTTTGCAACCCAATTTGACAGCTCTAAAATCCCATCTAATATGTGCATTAATATATCCACAGGTTGATCTTGCTATATACTCAAACATGGTTACTAAGATCATCAGATGACATACTAGAACGACTTATTACCACCTTGAGGAAGCAAATTCATCCGGGAGTCAAATTTTGATGAACACTTATACATCTTTAGGCACAGACCGCTAACAGAAGGACCAGCCACCTGATGGTATTTCATGTGGGAAACTGGCAAGAATATTGATGTATTCCTTAATAGGTAAATCATTAAATCATCCCCAACCTGCACGTATGTAATTTACCTTATTGAGAATTAAAAAAAGCAGCTCCTTGTAAATATAGAAGCTTTGTATGCATAGAACTATTCATATGACGTACCCTACTTAACAGAACATCCCAAGGTGAACAAGATAGAAGCTCCAATGTGGGGCTGAAACATCTACTCTGCATGTGAATCCATACATGCCATGCTGAGTACGGGCGGCGAGAGAGGTAAAGATATAGATGAAACCATCATTTCAAAATATGGGACTGATAAATCACAACAGTCTTCATAGAAAGTCAAAATACCAACAACCTTTCATCTTTAGAACGCAGAGTATAGAAAACCCGATTAACATGTGACTCAAACAAAGTAGAAGAGCTCAGGATCGACTGCACAACAACTAATCAAACCATTTCGACTTAAGGAACACTGCTTTAGGTAGGGCACGTGGAATAAGTAAGCCAACACGTTATGTCGCATGTTGTAAATGAAAAGCAGGCTCGTGACTAAGCAGATAAAACAGGAGGGGGGGGGGAAGCACCAATGCCGCCAAAACAGCAAAGAGACAACAAAATGTTGCTTGCCTGAACATAACCAGAGCCTAGCACATTGCCAACCGCTGAAAACGGTTCCTTTCCGCAACCCATCATTTCTATGGTCCTTCTCACAATCTGAAAGCAATAATTACTTATTCGTAAGCCTGATCCATCCAACCAGACTGCCTACGGCGACTGACAGAAAGTAGGAGAAACTGAGAATTTAAAACCCTTTCTTACCCCAAAATATAATACAAGTTTTATCTGTTCATTGACAGCTGCTCAAACATAAATTCTTTTAACTAACCCCACATTACAAGTTATGTGTACAATGAAGGAATATGCTAGACCTCACGTTGAGACCAACGAGATTGAGGGATGAACAACGAAAATGAAGGTGCATTGTCAGAGACGACAACGAAGCAGCGGCAGAGGAGTTTACGGTAGTCAGAGGAATCGTCCGGTCGAAGAAGAAACAACATGGGATCAGCCGAGCAGCCAAGGCAGTGCACTCCCTTGCAGAGGCAGTCCTCCGGCGAAGGAGGCGGAGGAGGAAGTAGAGCAACTATCGTCTCTGCCATCGGGCGCGCTCTGTCACGAAATAGCCGCCATAGAAGCTCTGGAACCCTGTGTTTCTTCTTCGGCATTTTTCCAGGAAATTGACGATCAAGTAGAATGAGGACAAACTCAGGTGAGGGAGCTTGACTAGGTTTTCAACAGGAAGAAGATGAAGGTCCGGCTTGGGGTCAAACAATATTATCTGGCGCGAGTTCCATTATAATACTCCGTCCTCCGTCGTCGCTTTACTTTAAACTTAAAAAATTTGAAAAATTTGTTGTATGACGGGGCAAAAAAAAAAAAAAAAATTGAAATCACCGCTAGCACGACTAAAAGGCTATTTGGATGAAATCAAACTATAGTTTAAAAAATAATTTTTAGAGAATAGATTTTAGAGAAAATAGATTTTGTGAAAAGGTGATTCTGAGAAGTGAGAATATTTGGATAGTTGTTACCAGAAGCACTTTTTATATGTACAAATTACTAAAAAGGACATAAGTTAATATGACAATTATGTAAGGGATAGATTTTATAATATATTTTGATTTGAAGGAATAAAATTATTAATAAAATAATTTTTACCAACATAATTAATAATATATAAGATAATATAATTAATAAATAATTAATATGTATATATATTTATAAATTATAAGATTAAATATGTTCATAGAAAAATGATTATTTTTTTCTAATAGAAAAATATTAATTTGCTTTAAAGATTTTAAACATGAAATTCTATAACATTTTTTTCACAACTAGTTTTTATAATAACATACTACCTTTCATCTTTAATATAATTAATTAATTATTACTACATGTGTAAAAATATTTATAAAATATAAGATTAAAAATATTTTTGAAAAAGATGAATAATTTTTTATAAACAGAAAAGAAATAAATAAAAAAAGTACAATGTAACAACATACTACCTCTTTCTGGTTAAAAAAAAAAAAAAACATACCACCTCTCTAAATAGTGAAGGACCGGAAGATTGAAGCTTGAGAGGCATATGTGTCTAGTCCCAAAAAAAGATCCTCATATCTGTACAAAACTCTTCAATTTTTTTCCAAAAGCATATTCAAAATGCTTTTTTTAAAACCATGGTTTTGATTTTTTTATGGGTGTTTGGGTTATTTTTTCCCAAACCATGGTTTGGGGAGACATCCAAACACACCCTAATCCATGGAGTTCGCTTACGTCGGATTCTTGGTGTAGGCATTGGAGACAGATTTATGTTTTTTCTGATCGTATTGATTGTGTTCAGGTTTAAATTTATTAAATAGGGATTGTGACTAAGCACATCCTTTTAGAGACCCCATAGATAAAGCTAAAATTTTATTATGTAGACATTGGCAGGTTGTAAGGGCAACATGTCAGGATCACTTGATTGATTTTAAATAACTAGTAGTCATCTATTTTTTATAACTCCAAGTAGGGATGGAAACAGGTTAGATGGCTTGTCAGGAGTCTAAATCCTGACCTGCATTTGTCCTGACCTAGCCTGTTTTCAAAAAGAAGTAGGTCCATGCTTGTTTGAAGGCCTATTTAACTTAACACGCCCGACCTAAGTTCTCTGAGAAGCCTTTTAAATCTATTAGGCTAGTCTAGACCTGTTATAGATTTATAATTATAATATATGAAAAAATTAGTTAATAGTATTATTGTTAATGTGTTCCTTTAATTTATTTTTTAATTTTAATATATAGTTAATGGCTTAATGCTTCTTTGGTTTTGAAGTTTAATTAACAAGTAAAGATAAAAGTATAATTTAAAATAATAATATCAATAAATAGTGTAATCTTTATATTTTAAAAATATAAGTAAAATCAGAAAAAAAAAATTGTTCTAAGAATGATAAATTAATTAAATTATGTATTATGTTAATTAAATTATGATACCTTTTGTATTCATTGTAAAATTAATAATTTTTCTCCTTATTTATTTGTCTTGATTTTAATTTTCATTTTGTACTTAAATATAGTCTTGTTCCAATTACAGCTAGTTTTCAATAATATCCTTGTAAATTGTAATTAAAATTTAAAATAGTAGTCATGACACTAAAATTTAAATAAAAGACAAGACTTAAAAATTAATTATTATGTATGTTTTTTTTAATCTTAGCTTCTTCTTTTTTTTTTTTTTACATATCACTATGTAATTTGAATTTTTTAAAAAACTATAAACTTTTTAACAGGTTTCAAGCAAGGTCAAGCCTTTATATAGGCCAAACTCAGGCTGAAGAATAAGCTTGTAACAAGCCATAGGCCAGGCTCATGCCGATATGCTACAAAACAGGCCTGGCCTATTAAGATAAGGCATGGTTTGACCTAGCCTGTTTCTACCTTTAACTCCAAGCATTAGCTTGCCTTTATACACACACACATATACATAAAGAAATTGGCAAATTATTTTGAACTATAACCCTAAAGCTGAAAATTCTATGATAAATTGTCTTGTCAAGATGTCTCATAGTTTTGAGGAAAATTAGTACATCTTTAATCAATCTTTATCTTTTCCTAATTAAGATAGATGGTGATGAAGAAATTTTTTCCTATTTGTTGTAGTCTTATTAATATCTCTTTCTCTTAAGTTAATAGTATTTAGTTTTCATTTGAAAAAATCACCACTAGTGCAAGAGAGGTTCTAAGGCCTTATTTGGTACATATATTTGAAGTTTGATGGATTGGCATTAGAAATGACAAGGGGAATGAACATTTGACGTTGTATTCGGTATGGAACAATATTTGGAGAGAATGCTTTTATTTATTTTATTCTATAATCAATCATAAATCTAGATACATGTTAAATAAAACCAAAGCCAAGCTGAGCTGTTTTCCAATCCATACTGGTTCCTCACTTATTTTAATTTGTGCTATGAACAATACTAACTGTGTGAACAGTGCTAGCTTGTGCATGTGGCTTGGTGCTTTTCTTTTATTGAGAGGTTGTGTTGATCCGTACAATAAACTCCTTTGATTTTTAATATTCTTTCTCCTGTTGCATAGGAAAATCATAGTTTTAAAAATAATTTTATAGTATAAAAAGTAAATATGTGAAGAGTTTTATTTCAATTTATGTAAAAACACTTTTAAAAAGTGTTTTTTAGGGTTTCGAAACACCGTTGTAAAATACATTTTTCATTTGTCATATTTGTTAACCTCCATAAGCTAAAGATTTTGTCAAGTTCTTTTGTAGCTTTACGACATACTCCCTCTTCAAATTCAAAATTCAACCTTTGTTGATTTGTTTTCTTTCCCCCTAATCTTGTTCTTTTCTTCACCAAACCTAACAATGGAGAGGGGAAAAAAAATTTTCTGCATAAATTATCTTTTCTGCATCAATGGGAAGAGATTTCACATAAAACCTCCTCTCTTCTACATCCTCAAACAAGAGGAGAATCAATCCAGCCATTGCTATGAGTAGCTCCTTCTTTCAATCTAAGGATGAGAAGAAGCAACAATCAATATACTATTAATAACTGTTTCAGCAAGCCGGTTTTCACCTTAGCTTCCTATTGGCTTTTGACTGATTTCATTGTTCACAAGCTGGAACAGTTAAAATATTAATTGTCTAATAGTGCATTAGGCTTTGGTTAAGCCGATGGGTTCATTAATTGCCTTACATGTGTTTTACAGACTATATATATGTAACATGCAGGATATAGGTCTTTTTGTGGTAGAGGGAGAGCAGAACCTTCATCTTTAGTTGAGCGGTTAGAAGCAACACTTCATGGGTCTCAATATTATTTGGTTTGTGAACTGATCCATGTGTTTTCTTGACTTTCCATCCATCTCTTTCATTATTCGATCTTTACTTTGCCTCTTCATTTACATGTTTGTAAATGGACAGTTACTGATTAGTTTAATATATATTATATTTTTTTTTAATCATGACACTAACAACTTGTTTTGTAGACTTATCCTATTCTGATGGTTTGTGTTACAAAGTTCACACAAGATGGAGTTCTTACCAAAAGCTTTCTTGAATGATTTAGTCCCTAGAGTTTTAGATGTGAGGGTTACCATAAAGATTGACTGATTTTATTTTAGAGAAATAGTGTAATTAATAGGGCGTATTCAAAGTCTTATGAACGAAGTATTGACAATCGATGTCGTCATGTTCAATGAAAAGGTTTGTTCTTTGCATCATATATCATGATGAGGCTATTGATGGTGTAACATTTTGGTTACTGCTTGCTCAAGGTAGTTGGATGCTTGATTCCATGGTTATTAGTATCGCGCGATTCGAGATTCGAATCGCACGATACGCCACATATTTCACACTGGGAGATACGAATCTCCCAGTGTATCCCTTTAGCACCAGAATCGCGCCCTGAATCGCGCGATTCACGTCGGAATCGTGCGAATCGCGCGACACCGGTGGATCACGCGATTCTGGGTGCTGTCGGGTTGCGCGGATCCGACCCGGATATGTGCGCGACCCGACACGGAAATAACCCTTTTTTGTTTTTTTTTCGATTTTTTTTGTTATTTAAGGGGAGAAACTGCCGCAAATTGAATTAGAAGCATGTGAAACCCTTTTTTTTATTCCCATCTGCTCTGTTCTTCACGTTCTATATCTTGTGCCCCACGGTTGCATTTTTTCTCCTCTTCTACTGGTCCTTTTTGGTCGAAAAATTATACAAATTGAAAGCAGTGGTCCACTCTATACTATTGCTGACTTGCTGGTTGATTGGGGTCCATTCTACTCCTATTTGGTAATTTTTTCCGGCTTCTTTTTTGCTTCTATTAGATGTTATATTTGTGAAGGTGGGAAAAATGAGTCAGAATCAGAATAAGAAAAAAAAGGAAACTGATATTACATGGAATCACTGTGAAAGTGTTCCTCCCCATAGACTTATGGTTAAATGCAAATACTGTTCACATCAATGTTGGGGTGGGGTAGCTAGGATGAAACATCATTTGGCTGGAACTAGAGAGAATGTGAGTCCTTGTACAAGTGTTCCTGATGAAGTGAAAAAGTTGTTTGTTAAAATGTTAGAAAATAGAGAAAAAAGTAAAGATGCCAGTAGTGTTGAAATATTTGAAGAGTCAACTACTCAAGATGCTAAGGGAAAGGAAGGGACATCAAA